CTGGAATGCCATGTGGTGCGCTCTGAGCAGCTCTGACGGCTGACTGAGGGGGTGGAGCTGCCCCCATTCTTTCCACCAGAACCCCCACCCCTTTGGCAGTGTGGAGCTGAGAGCCCCCCACCTTGCCCAGGAGCCTGGCAATTCTGTTGCCCCCCTTGAGGTGGGCCACGGCCTTACTCCACCCTCTCTTTGGAACTGAGTTGTGCCCATGGCAACACTTGCAAGGAGCAATCCCTGTATAACTGAGCAAACGACATGCCTCCAAATCAGCAACATTGGGAAAGGAGTCACTTGGGAGCATCACAACTCATTCTGCCCATTACTTCCTTGGCCCATGGTGGCGTGCAGTTACTAGTTGCTATATGCAACTTCAGTAAGTACGAGCACGGCTCAGACACACAGTTCTCTCAGGAGGGCTGGACACCCTTGTCAGATAGGCTGGATCTAGCCTCTTGCCCCAGCATTTGCTACCACTGACCTAGCACTAAGATTCACACTACCAGCAGCTGAGTGAAATAAAAGCATCACCCATGGTACCAGCACCAGTATCAAGGCAGAGAAGCCACAATGGACAGGCCTCTATCTGCAGTCACCCTCCTTCACTGCCAGCATGATGTGCTGGGGAGGTGCCGTGCCCAGGGCCTCTTTTCAGGAGAGCAGCCATTTGAATGGCTGCCTGGAACTGGAAAGTGGAGGAAAGGCAAGAAGCGAGTCAGGCTGGGGTGATTTTTGAGATTCAGTAGTTTGTTAATCACCAAGGCGAAGTGACATTGGAATACCAGATTCACAAGGCACTCCTTGCTATATCTATCTTCTGGTTCACGTGGGATCATGATTCCAAACAGCCCCTGGCTCCCAGGGACAAACAAAAATATAGCTCGTTTACCTGACAAACCAGGATACATTCAGCACCCGGACAACTGGAACCAGTTCACCTCTGAGCTGGACTCATCTTCTAAGCCTCTGATGGCTGCAAGATCTACACAGAAGTGCACCAACGCCAGGGATACTTCTCCCTGCCTCTCGGTGTTATAAAGTCTACTTCTTAGAACCCTCAGATTCACATCCCCCACCTCTGAGTGCTACAAGTGTCCCATATCAGTAGGCTGACAACAGAGTTCATGCTTCTGCTATGCCGTGGTGTAGTTCCCAGCGCCATGGAGTAAAAAATGGATTCTCCAGTGCTGTGGAGGTTTTCCAAAACTCATGCCATCTCAGAGATGGCTCCTCAAAGTCTCTCCTGTATGAACACCTGGGGGAACAGTGAACCAGGGGTTACAGAACCCTCCAGTGTAATTCTTTCTCTGCATGTATACATTGTCCATGTACCTTGTACATTGATATGAAACACAACCGACATACACGATGTGCACGGCTACGATTTCAAACACAATGCACGGTGAGACCTTTCCAAACATGTCGTTTAATACCGATTTCAAGTACTACAGACTACATCATAATCCTGCAATAGTCTAGCCGAAGCCTACAGTGTCTAGGTTCATGCCGTACAGCTTTTGTACCCTGTAAATGTTACATACATTTTATACAACTAGTGCCATCTGTTGGAATGAATAGATGAGAACAGACTTGTGGGCGATCGTTCCACTCCATGGGGGCTGTGCCCACTTCTTGGAGAAAGCTGTACTTGGGCAGCTGTCTGCTCATCCCCAACTCTGTAGGCTGCTGTTGACAATGGTATGGGGTAAATTTGTTTTGGTTTTTGCAGTTCTCAGGAAAATGAGGATTTTGGAGAAGATTTGCTCATTGCTCTCTAACTGGTGTCTTGAAATTAAGAGGTTTCACGGAGGATTATTTTGGCTAGGTGCTAAGGGGGAGCTGGCAAGTGCTGGGGAGTGCTGAGATCAGAGAAAACTCATTTGCTTGCAGGAAAATTAGCAAGCAGGGAGGGAGTGCTGCTTGCTTGTGCTACATGCTCTGGGAAATAAGGGAAGAGGTCCCACAGCCCTCACCTTAGAAGCATCCTCTCCTGTGGCCCAGAGTTTAGGAGGATGTGATCACTGGGAACAGTCCATCAAGGGAAGAGTTTCAGCCACAAGCAGACCCTAAAGATGATCACAACTCCAGCCAAACTCCAGAGATGCCTATTACACTGGCACCAGAAGCTTGAAAGCAAAAGCGGCTGAGAAAAAAGGGCCAAGACTAGGATTAAGAGCAGCATAGGAGTGGCATTACCAAGATACGGCGGGATGAGAGTTATCATCGGGATGCCCACGACTCCTGGCTCCAAACTAGACAGGAACCCTGCATTAGAGGGAGGTAGAGAGTCCCACTTTCACACAAGCATAAGCAAGTTTTAGATTCATGGGACTAACAAAAAAAATCCAACAACCTCGCAAATTGTGTCTCAAAAGTAGGACAAGATGGAAACAGTGACATAGGGAGGAAGTGTATACGGGGTGATCCCAGGAGAAAGTACTGGTGTTACTGTCTAAAATTACTGCAGGCTGTTGGAGCTACTCTTCCATCACACCTTGGCATAGTTATCCAACAAGTTCTTTGAATGTATTAGAGATGGAGTTTTATTTTATAAGATAAAGAAAACTACTATGGGAGAGGCTGTTGATTTTGACAAACGGGGGGAACAACTTGAGAATTTAAAAGTGGAAGGCAGCCTGGGTGAAACATTCATGAAATGATTAAGGAATCATAGAATAAGAATGCTAGAGCTGGAAGGAACCTTGAGAGGTCATCAAGTGTAGTTCCCTGCACTCATGGCAGGACCAAGCACCATTTAGATCATCCCTGACAGGTCTGTCTAATCTGCTCTTAAATATCTCCAATGATGGAGATTCCACAATCTCCCTAGGCAATATATTCCAGTGTTTAACCACCCTGACAGGCAGGAAGTTTTTCCTAATGTCCAACCTAAACCTCCCTTGCTGCAATTTAAGTGTATGGTAGGAGGGAAAGCAGCACAATAAAGATAATGGATTTCAAGAAGGCAGACTTCAGCAAACTCATAGAGTTCACAGGTAAGATCCCATGAATAGTGAATATATAGGGAAAAACAGTTCAAGAGAGTTGACAGTTTTTCAAGGAGACAGTATTAAGAACACAGAAGCAAATTATCCCATTGTGTAGGATACATAGGAAGTGTGGCAAGAGACTCTGCTGATTTAATCAGATCTTCAATGACCAGAAACTCAAAAAAGAATCCTACAAGACATGGAAACTAGGTCTGATTACCTAGGATAAATATAAAGAAACAGCACATCATGCAGGGATAAAATTTAAAAAGGCTAAGCCACAAAATGAGATTAAACTAGCTAGAGACAAAGGGTAACAAGAAAATGTTCTACAAATACATTAGAAGCAAGAGAAGACCAAAAATAATGTTGGCCCATTACTCAATGAGGAGGGGAAAACAACAACAGAAAATGTGCAAATGACAGAAGTTCTAAATTACTTTTTTGTTTCAATGTTTACCAAAAAGTTTAGTAGTGACTGGACATCTACCAGACCAGTGAAAATGAGGTAGAATCTGAGGCTAAAATAAGGAAAGAACTAACTAATAATTACTTAGACAAGTTAGATGTCTTCAAGTCACTGGGGCCTGATGAAATACATCCCAGAATACTCAAGGAGCTGACTGAGATTTCTGAGCTATTAAGCAATTATCTTTGAAAAGTCATGAAAGTGGAAGAGATTCCAGAGGACTGAAAAAAGGCAAATATATTGCCATTCTATAAAAAGGGGAGCCCAGGGAATTACAGACCAGTTAGTTTAACTTCTGTATCTGGAAAGATAATGAAGTAGCCAATTTGTAAACACCTGGAAGATAATAAGGTGATAAATAAAGTTTAGTATAGATTTGTCAAACCACCCTAATAGCATCAAAAGCCTTACTAAAATCAAGATATACTACATCTACTGCTCTCCCGAGCCACAAAGCTTGTTGCCCTGTCAAAGAAAGCTATCTCACTTGATCTGCTCATCAACAAACTAGGGAAATACAACCTGGATGGAGCTACTATAAGAAGGGTACATAACTGGTTGGAAAACCATTCCCAAAGAGTAGTTATCAATGGGTCATGCTCAAGTTGGAAGTGTATATAGGGTGGAGTCCTGCAGGAATCAGTCCTACATCTGGTTCTATTAAATATTTTAATCAATGATATAGATAATGGCATAGATAGTACACTTATAAAATGTGTGGACAATACCAAGCTGGAAGGAGCTGCAAGTGCTTTGGAGGACAGAATTAAAATTCAAAATAATTTGGACAAACTTTGGAGAAATGCAGTGAAAGAAATGGGATGAAATTCAATAAGGACAAATTGTGAACTACTCCTGTTAGGAAGGAACAATAAGTTGCACACATATAAAATGGGAAATGACTGCATAGGAAGGAGCTCTGCAGAAAGGGATCTGGGAATTACAGTGGATCACTAGCTAAATATGAGTCCACAATGTACCACTTGCAAAAAACAAACAAACCCAGAAGTATTGTAAGTAAGACACAAGAAGTAACTCTTCTGCTCTATTCTGTGTTAATAAAGCCTCATCTGGTGTACTGTGTCCAGTTCTTGGCACTACATTTCAGGAAATATGTGGACAAAGTGGGGAAAGTCCAGAGAAGAGTGACAACAGTTACTAAAGGTCGAGTAAACAACCTCTGAGGAAAGACCAAAAAAAATTGCTTTGCTTCGTCTGGAGAAGAGAGGGCTGACATGGGATGTTTTAAAAGGTTTCAGGTACATAAAAGCTTATTACAAAGAGGAGGGAGAAAAATTGTTCTTGTTATCCTCTGAATATAGGACAAGAAGCAATGGAGATTCAGGCTGGACATTAGAAAAAACTTCCTAGATGTCAGGGTAGTTAAGCACTAGAATAAATTGTCTAGGGAAGCTGTTGAATCTCCATCAATGGTAATTTTGAAGAGCAGATTAGACCAAGTTAGCTGTTAGGAATGGTCTAGATGGTGCTTGTTCCTGCTATGAGGGCAGAGGACTGGACTTGATAACTTCTCAAGGTCCCTTCCAGTCCTGTGATTTTATTATTCTGTGATACGGGGCCATTCCACTAGTAGACGGTGAATAGTATGAGCAAAACCCTGGGAAGAATGCTGGGTGGAACAGATCCAGTGGTAGAGCAGAAGGCTGCGACCACCTCAACTCCAACGTCATCTACAACGCCACCCTGCCTCCCTGTGCCATGCTGGTATGCTACAGGATAAGACTTGCCAGGGTCGATGCTGAGATGCTGGTAGAGTATGCCTCAGTGAGGACGAAGGGTAACACCTCCAGCAACATGCACTCCCTTGATACCATAATGGAGCAGATAGTGGGTATGGTATATAAAGTACCATAAGACACCACATATCATCCCTGGGTGTGCCTGGCTGGAGCATGTCCACATTATAAAGGACATCTTCTCCACCAGTATAAAGGAATCTTATACTGATGGTTCTGTATAAATGACTGGTAATACTCATAACCATAACTGTATCCGTAACCAAATTATGTTCGTGGCTGAAGGACAGCAAGTCCAGTAGCACTAATGCCTGTCCTGATTTCTAAGGGGTATGCTGTAGCCACACATATTCTGTATTCCTGTTTCATGTGTCCGTTGTAAAGCACTTAGAACTATCTACTCGTTAAAGGTGTTTTATGCTCTATTAATTGATAATCATCTTGAATTTGAATCCATAACCAAAATATAGCTGGTTTTATGTTGCCACAGCCTTGCTGTTCATTAGAAGGTGTGTGGTACACTTCAGTAGAAAAGCAAGGATGAAGAACACAACGAAAAAGGAGAAGTTATTGTACTATAGAAAATACCATCCCTGATCAGCAGAAGACTAGATCCTGTGACATTCCTTTCTGGCAGTATTGACTGGGATCATCAATTACAAAGACAGTCGCTGCACATTGTCTTTATGGAGTTTAACACAGTCTTGATCAGCTGGGTTGAGGGGCCAGAGACATGCTTTTCCCTGTTAGATCCTTCCCACGTTGACCGAAACCAACAGCGGAGCTGGGGACACACAAGGGAGATCAAAGGACACTGGCAGGAGCAGCTACCGAGAAGGGAGAAGAGATTCTGCCTTCTGCCTAGACAGCAGCATCAGAGACTCTCCCATTCAGTGAGGCCTTCGGTTTTAGTCCATTGTTCTGAATGTTCACTTCTTGAGTGGGCTGAGTCATCTGCTGAAAACGCTGTTCAGGAACAAACAAAGATGACAGGAAGGACACAAGTATCCAAGGAAAAATGAGGAGACCCTATCACCACCACCACTTCCACACATGACGTTGGGCTGAAGGTCACCACCCCTTTCTTCCAAATTGAAGAGATATCCCTAGTTACAGCAAGAGAGCTACTGTGTGGATAGTGATCACTGAAACTTGGTAGGATGCGTGCCTCTGATACATGCTCATTTGGCAATGTAATCATTCCTCCTTTGCTGTTATACTATACACAGTCCTCTCTTCTGAATTATACAGATCACCATTGAAAAGTAAGCCAGCAATTGGAGCAACACCCAGAGACCGTTTTTTAATTACAAAAATGTCAATGTTGTTTCCATTTCACAGGGTTCAAAATGGACCCACATTTTCTGTGACATTTTCCCCAAAATTCCCATTAAAAATGTTATTGAATGGTTACAGAATGCCAAGGAATTTAGTTTATGGCTCTAATCCTGAATGGCCCTTTACGCCAGTGAGGATTCCCATTTATACCAACCTGACAGGATCAAGGTCTCAATAAAACTGAGCTCCCTTGGTGGAGCTGTGTCTGGAAGACATCCAGGGAGATGGGATGTGGGAGAGAGCAGGCCCTTGGGCAAAGGGCCCCTCATTGGTTGAGCTGTACGGGTTGAAACCTCGGGTTAAATGGACTTGGAGGTTGAATTCCAGGAGGGGAACTGGTGCTTTAAATTATGGAATATGAGAGGAAAAAGGCCTGAAGTGAATGGACATCACTGAGCCAGAGAAGAGCCCCTTCAAGAGAAGGAAAGCCCCCACACTCAGACATATCTGAAGTGTTTCTTCCTGGGTGAAGCCCCTGAAATGTCTAGTGAGGCTCTCCTGCCATTCGTGTGCTATTTTTCTTACATTCATGCTCAGTAGGATTAAAATGGTTTATAATCTTTCCTGTCTGTCAAAACCCCTTTATTCAGCATTGACATCTAATTTCCCTCCAGACTCAGCTCTGTTACAAAGTAATCCTCAATCTCTCTCTCTCCTTCTGTCTCCCTCCTGCCACCTGCTGTTTGCTGGTAAGTGTGGTGGCTCAGTCCGCCAGGGGCCTGGGTGTGTGTGTGTTGGCTGCCTACAATAAAATGACATTCCATTGAACTGGCAGACCGGTCAGAGCACAAGAGGGAGAAGAGGGCAGGGAAGGTACATAGAAGCCAATCACGCTGTAATTTTTGTTTTTTAAATTCCCATTGACTGACATTGCCACTCTGCACCAGATGCTGAGAGCGCAGAGCAGGACCAGTAGCCTCCCCAGGAATTGAAATTAGGGGGGTGTTTGAATTTACATGGGGGGGGTGTCAGGGCCGATGAGGGGTGAGACTGTGAGGGTGAAGGTGGGCTGTATGGCACCATAGTTCACAAAACTGGGTGGGTGTTGGGGAAATTCAGGGGCGGTATACACTCCTGTGGGGGGGGGGGGGGGTCTAGGGAAACCCCTGAGCAGGACCACGTTCCATGGGCCTGCGAGAAAAGGAGTCAGAAGGACGGTGGCTAATCACTTGGACACCGAGTGGGATTGCAGGTTACTGACAGATTCAGAGGCACAGCTACAGTGATGCTGCTCACTCAGGGCAGATTGCAATGACCTTAGTGATTGCTCCGTATGGTGCAAATAGCTGTGCTGAAGTCAGGGGAACGCCCTGAGGATTTAGATCAGGGGCCTGCAACCTTTCAGAAGTGGCGTGCCAAGATTTAACTTTCCCCATCTCCCCCAGTGCAAGCCCTGCCCCCTCCCCTCCTGCCCTCACATCCTCCTTCACCCCCCTCCTGCCCCACATCCCTGTGCCCTCAGTGCACACACCAGCAGGGCAGCAGCTCTGGGACTCGCAGCCCCCGGGAGCAGTGCTGGGGTGAGGATGGGCCGAGGGGGCAGAGTCACTTCCCTGCCTGAGCCAGTTCTTTGCCTGGGGGCTCTCTCCTCACCTGCAAGCTGCAGCTCCGGGGCTGGGTCAGGCAGAGCCCAGGGCTGTCCCCAATCCTTGGCCGGGCACAGAGGGGTGGTGCTGGGGAAGGGTCTCCTTACCCATGGGGAGCAGCCGCAGCTTAGCCCGGGCCCCAGCGCCCCCATGGAAGTGGCAGCAGCATGTGACTGGCCGCACCACCCCGATTTGCAGAGCAGCCCCAGCCCCACCCCCTCCCAGAGCAGGAGGCAGAGCCTGTAGTGGGGGAGGAGGGGTTAACGCCTTAGCTCCTGGGAGCTGCACACCCCAGGGACGTGGAGCCCAGCACAGGGCTGTGCTGCTCACTCTGCTTGCTGGGCCAACCAGCCCCTATGCCATGCTGCACGTGCCACAAAAAATCATCCTCCGTGCCACTTATGGCACGTGTGCCGTGCATCGCCAACCCCCGATTTAGATGCTACTCAGTGTGAGTGAGGGCATCACAGTTTGGCCCTCCTGGCCTGCTCCTAGTGAAGTCAAGAGAATGCTGTGACCAGCTTCAAGGGGAATAGAACTGGAGCCAAACAGAGGGGGGAACTGTTGCCCGGATTAGGAGACAAGAAGGGATTTCCCCACATGGCACATTACCAAGGAGTGGGGTTGAGAGGGGTGGTGAGTGCTCGTTCCATCCTATGGAGCTCTAAGCAAAGATCGTTCATCCATGAGGATCAGAGATGGGTCCAAGTGGGGGTGGTTTGCTTTAATTCTCAACACGGTGTACAGCCTATTGCTATCCTCATAGAGAAGGGTATCACCCTGTTACAGGTAACACCTTGGAGGGAACACCTACTTGTAGCCCTATAGTAAATGACATTATGGTGGGGTCTATATTGGTGGAGCACTGGAACTTCTTTCCATCTTTCATTTTAAAGTGAATTAAGTGCTGATGAAAGAGAGGAGACTGACAGCCCTTTTTATTCATGAGACAGCCAGCTTGAGTGCAAACCTCGCTCACCAACAGATCTTGGCTCTGAGCTAGTTCAGGCTTTGTGCTCATTCAATGCTTAGTGTCTTCACTAAGACTGCCTGTTAGTTTGACATTCATTGTAAGAACTGCAGCAATCAGAATTTCCACCATTTCAAACATTTGTTTTCATTCCAACTCAGGAAAAAAAGAGAATTTAGAAATTTCCCATAAAACAAGACGTATGGGAAGTTTTTGTTACCAGATAGTCAAAAACATTTCCTTTCCATTTTGACTTTTTTTTTAAATTATATAATATAAAATACATTTCAGAAGTCATTTTGAAATGACAAATCAAAATATTCCATTCTGTAATTGTCCAAACAGAATGTTCTGGTTTTATCAAAACAATTTCTTTTTTTTCAAAATGCAATTTTGTCAGAATCCACATTTTTCCTCGGGAAGTTTTGTCTCAGACTGAGCAGCATTTTCCAATGAGAAAACATTCTGTTGGAAGATTTACAACCATCTTTCCATGTTACAGTGAAGTGCTGATGTGGACAGCAGTCTGCTAGGAACTGGACTAAGATTGCCTTGACTTGTTTCATAGAAGACACCAAACAGGAAGGAGAAGATAACAATTTTTCGTGACTACTGACCTGGGAGAGCTAGTAACCAATGTCCTAGAGGCAGAGGCATTTATCGCCTTACCCCAGTTCCCTAAGTCACCCATTTGCTCCTGTACAGAAGGGCTTTCTATTGGCTTACACAGAATGTGTTGTGCAGGAGGTAACAGAAATATGAAGGAGCAGATCTGTGAAGGGTGTTGGGGGATGAGGAGGGAGCATGTGGGAAGTCTTGGTTTACAAAGACCACAAGAGTTAACGTCATGACCCAGGGACTGTGTGACTGTGTGACCCTGGGAAGTCCTGCTGGACAGATAATTGAGCAGAGGCCGAAGCTGCAAAGTTGGTCTTACCTGCCTGATGGTCCCCTTTGAAATGAAGAAGCAGTACAGCATATAGCCTGGAATCAGCACCATGGAAGACAGAGCCATGAGCCAGCCGATGCCTTGCCCCCATGTGGGATAGACGTATTTCCCCAGAGTCAGAGGGGTCATTTCAACCACACTGAAGAAGAAGACACCCTGGAGAAACAGATCCAACAGTCACAGCGTAGGATGGCAGGAGCAGGAATATTCACTTACTTTGTCCTTCTTTTGAGAGTTCCCTCAATTCTCACTGAGTCATACCGCCTTCCCAAACCCTCCCCCACCCTGAGTCAGGGCTCCCCCACCATTCCCAACCCCTCCCCTACCCAGGGCTCCTGCCCCATTTCCAACCCGTCCCCCACCCAAAGCCAGGGCGCTCACATACTTCCCATCCCCTTTCTCAGACAGCTAAGGTTCCTGCACCACCTGCACAATTCTCTCTCATCTTCTCATTCCACCAGACATGGTTTCTATCCCCTTTCCTACAGCAGGTCCAGCTGAGAGAGGCTGAGAAAGTAGTAGTACTGTAATGTTTTCCCCATGGTCAGTACCCTAAACTCCCCTGCCCCAGCCAGGGCACTTACACCCTTCCCTATTTGGACTTCTGCTGCTCTCCCATACCATTTCCTAAACAGCTTCCTCTTAGCTGATTCTCAGGAGCTAGGAACTTTCCACAGCAATCCCAACAGCACCTCCTGCTGAGAGAGGAAGAGTTGGAGGGGGACGGGGATGCTAAGAGCTCCTCTGTGCCAATTGGATTATATCTGAGCATGGCTCCTGCTCAGAGAAGCTTGGTAGGGGTTGAGGCTGGAGCTAGAGAGGCAGGGAGTTTTCTCCACCACAGCTCGCAATGATTTTGAAAGTAATAAACAGCCAGTTTAGCTTCTGCAATACCAAGCGCAGGAGTAACATATTGCTAACTACATGTTCTAAGACACTCTGAGAGTCAGTTGCAGGGATTCGGGGGGAAGAATAAAAAAGGCTCCCCCATATTTCTTTTCTTGCCAGTCACCTTGTCTCTTCATAGGATTAACTTGCACTTTATGCCGGATCTGGATGTGGAGAGGAGTTACCTAAAATAAACATTTAATGCTTACTCCACCCACAGAATGACCTCCAGGGAGGGGGCCCTTCTAGGTCAGCCTATGCAAATAGAATTGCTCTGTTCTCACCACACAGATGAGGGGAGTGAAGAAGGCCCAGCAGAGCTTCCACCAGCCGCAAGGTTTGTAGCCAATCATCTCTTCAATGTTCATGTAAAATCTGTTCACACCTACAGAAATGCATGTTAGCAGGAGCAATGATATCTCAGAGCCATGCTCATCAGCTCCGTCCAGTGACCCAAGACAGATCCAGAACAGGAGAAAGAGGACATGTCAGACCAGAGAGGAGAGCAGGCACTGACGGTGAGCAAGGAGAAATGTTATGCTTGCCCCCCAGGGGAAAAGCAGAGGCCATTGACACAAATACTTGGCTGAATCTGAATGGATACTTAGATAATTTTATGACCATTAAAACATCTATAGCTTCCCAAGCCAAGACAGTGACAGTAATCAACTAGCAAAGGTCTAGATCATGGGTTCCTAAAATGGGAGGTGCCTGAAGAATTTCCAGGGGGGGGGAGCATGAGGCAACCCAGGCCCTCCTATCAGTCCCCCGCAAGCAAGAGCCTGGTCCATCCGTCTGTCTGCTCGGGCGTCCACCGGAACACGCACAGCTCGGGCTGGCTGGGTAGACTTCAAAGTGGCTGCCTTAAAAGGGCAATGCTTGCTCTGCTCTTAAAAGGACAATCTTTTTTTTTTTTTTTTTTTTGCTCAACAAGTTTTGCTGCTATTTTTTTTTTGGCAGGGAGGGGGAGGGTTTCTCAAAAATCAAAACTTGCCAAAAAGTTTGGGAACCAGTGGTCTAGATCATAAGCAGGCCTAGGTCATTGTTCAACCTCACAGAAAGAATGCTCTGACAATCCAGTACTGCACAGTTGGGTAGGCAAGTTACTAGAAAGGGGGAAGCAGGTCTCCCTCTGAAGGATCAGAAATTGGCAGAAAGCTCAGCAGTGATTTGGCCTAACAAATTCTATATTTGCCTCATGCTCCTGAGAAAACTAAATCTAGAGGCCTGTGACTTGTCCATTTGTATGGGAATCTCTGTGAAGTCGTGCTCAGCTGGGTGGCTGCCTGAGAAAGCAAAGGGAGTATATCACTGTGGTTTTTCAAAAGCATTCAGCATTAGTCCAGCACTATTGTCAATTGTCAGTCTCCCACTGACTTCCATGGCTATTGAGGTGTTGAGGGCCTTTGAAAATGGCGTTATCTGTGCTTAGAGGTAAGTAGTAAAAGAACAAGGTGAGTTGCACTTACCGTAACACCAGGAAATGGAGATGGTCTCAAAGAAGACAAGGAAGAGAAGACACATGCCACTGGCTGAATAATAATCAAACAGCTTGAATACATAAATGCCACCCTGAGGAGACAAATCCTGGTTATGGAGTACAGCCAGGGGAGGGGGGAGCTGAGGATTAATACCTTTATCTAATGTATGTTAATTTCCTTGGCCTATGGAAGCCAACAATGATACGTCATTTCATTATAATCTAATTTCTGCCATCATCACAGACATACTCTTGAATGTGACCCAAGTGAGTGTTCAGGCTTAGCTGAGGGTGGGAAGAGAAATAGGGCTCTCACGTGGCTGCCTTCTCCCCTCAGTATGACGTGAAGCCATTTTGTAAAATGAATCCATTAAACCCCTCCTGCTGCACTTCGGATGCCTCTACAGATATTCCCTGTTCTGTGACTCCTCTGGCCTCAAGCCACAAAGAGGGAAATCCACACCCAGGCCTCTGTGTCACTGATCCAGGCCCTCTAGTCCACACACATGGAGCCTGGGCCTCACTGCCATATCCCAAGCAGGCAGATCCCTGCATTAGGTCACTTACTGGGGTGTGTAAACATGGAGCCTGAGTGTCATTGCTCTGCCGCCCCACCAGAAACTGCTCTCTTTTGGATTATCTCAACTTCCTGTTTAGAGAATGCACCACACTCCAGGGCTTAGGCCCAGCCTGGAGACAACAGGAGTTGCAGCTTGACTAACTACGAGGATGGTGGTAACTTATTGACATTCAATGCAAAGACTGCAACGTGGTGGATAGACAACAGTGCTGGGCAGAGTCCAGACCAGCAATAGCCCTAATGTCATTCCTGGACAATGGCTCTTCCCCCAAGCTTCCTGTGCTGCAGTTACACACGGAAGTGGATGGCAAAGCACCAAGTACAGGAGCTGGGGTGAGCACAGTACCTGGGTGATGTTGGAGAATCCAACAAGATAGGAGATGAAACAGACCACCGCAATGAAGAGCTTCTTCCTGGCCCGCAGGAGATAGGGATACTCATCTATCAGAGCTGTGACAAACCCCTCCACAGTGCAGAACTGCAAGAGGAAAGATATGCACACACATACACATCACCTTCTGCATTCGCTTGGAACACGTCCTCCTCCTCCTCCCCAGACTCCTGTGGTGTGTGCTGCCTCCCCCTCCCCTCTCGAGAATTCACCACCTCTCAGCCTGGATTTGCGTCACTTCTATCTCTGTGTCCCATTGCTGCTTCCCTGCTAGGTCATGCATGGCCTCACTTATACCTCATTTCCTATAAGAGTTCCAGCACGTAGTGATGGTGCTGAAGGGCTACCACATTGAAGCCGTGTGTGTGTGTGTATGAGAGAGAGAGAGAGAGAGAGAGAGAGAGAGAGAGAACCTGTTCCTTTTACTTGACTGAAGGAGTTACTGCAAGTAGCTGGATAATTATTGGTGCTGGTGTGGAGAATGTAAGGGGAAATAAAGAAGGAAGTCAGAGGAGAAGATGTGTCTGGGGGAAGTCCTAGGAGACTGGGCAAAAGAGGTGCGTGGAGGAGGAATAGCGGGAGAGAAGAAGGCTAAATCAGTAAATACTTATGAGATACACACCTCTCCACATCCTAACCAGATCCCATAGAACACACCAGAAGAGATGGCCAAATTGTGTGATGGTGCTTGTGCAATCCACATAACATATCGACTTGTTTCCTGATGCTTACTGACACATAGTGGCTCTGCATTCTGGAGCAGAGGCGGGGTCCAGTAGTGGCTTGCACACCAGGCTGGGGGCTAAGAGGCCCCACGGTCTAATCCTGACGTGCTTTGAGGAGCCATTAAGGCTAAAATTTTCAAATGTGGGTGCCTAAAGGTAGGAATCCAAATGGAACATTTAGGCTCCTAAATAAAAGCGACCTGATTTACAGAACTGCTGAGCACTCCCCATAGCTCACAGGGATGGCAGCTGGAGTTGTGAGTGCACCACACCTCTGAAGAGCAAGCCATTGCGGTGTTTCCTATTTGATACTGTTTTGGCTGTTGGTGAGCTGAACCCACTGCCTATCACGCTGACAAATAGTATCTCATTTTTTCTTGTACTCCCCTGCTGGCTCCATCTGTTACCTCTTGTTGTATATTCAGATTGTAAGATCTTTGGGGCACGGAGAGTCTTTTGTTTTGCCCAGAGATAGTCCTGTTTGGTTTGGCCAATGTACATGGCAGAGGGACATTGCTGGCCCATAATGGCACACTTCACATTAGCAGATGGGTGAGTTGGCAATGGGGTTTGTTGCAGGGATAGGTTCCTGGGTTAGTGTTCCTGTAGTGGGGTGTGTAGTTGGTGGTGAGTATTTGCCTTAGGGTTGGGGGAGGGGGCTGACTGCTGGAAGAGCTTGCTTAACAAGGTCTGTGAGAGTGTCAGATCTTCATCTAGGATAGGGTAGCTCCTTGATGATGTGGTAGGTAATGGCCAAAAGTGTTCTGTTGCTCTACCCTAGTGACACCATCAAAGGACCTAACCATATAAGCTACATCATCAAAGGCTCATTCACCTGCACATCCACTAATGCAATATATGCCAAGTACCAGTAATACGCCTCTGTCGTGTACATTGGATTCACCAGACAGTCTCTGCTACTTCCCTCCTCAGAGCACACAGACCTGGAATTAGGTCCCAGTTCAGCAAAGTACAGGTTGAACCTCCTTGGTCCGGTACCCTCAGGACCAGACTGGTCCTGAACCAGGGAATTTGCTGGACCAGGGAAGGTCAACCCTCCACTCCCAGCCACCAGAGCTACGCACCTGGCCACCAATCCCCTGGGGTAGTGGGTCTCTGCTTTCAGCTGCCCAGCTCTGGGCCACGAGGGCTCCACTCCTGACCATTGGCCCCCGGGCTCCATTCGTCCCTAGTTCAGCAATGTTCCTGGCCCCAACTCGATGGTTTTTCCCTGTAAGTATTTCAGTCTGGCACATCCACTGAGCTGCTGACAATGCCAGACCCGGGGTTTTGCTGGACTAGGGAAGTCCGTATTACAGAGATTCAGGATGTACTTAAACATGTTCTTGACTTTAAGTGCAGGCTTTTGGGCATTGTGGAATAGGGATGGTCCTAAGCACATGTTGAAAGTCAAACATGTGCCTAAGCACTTTGCTGAAATGAGGCCTTACGTACAATTTTTAAAGGTATTTCAGCATTGCCCTGCTTGGCATTGCATTGCCTAGCTGATCTAGGGGTCTAAACCCTATGGGCAGCTGATGGGATCTTTGTGCCTAAATCCCTTTGGAAAATGAGAGTCAGGATCCCAAATCAGGTAGGTGTTTCAGCACTGAGTGTAGTAATACCTTCATGACTAAAGACACCCCCTCCTCCCCGCACACACATCTTTAAGGGATTTGGTTTTATTGATAGCTCATAATCATTACCAGAACATAAACCTCAAGCTTAGCTTTCCCTCCCCCCAAAGCATGGACACCTCCCCCCCAAGACCCATTCCGTCCTCTTCCCAGGGAGCCGCTCTCACCTCCCTTCATTCCCATGGCACTAACCAGCTGTCCCTGCCACAACGAGCCAGCAGAACTTTGGCAGCCCTCTGATGGGTTCTAGCACCTGTTAAGGGTGTGGTTTGACACAAGAGCCTTACCACCTTGCTACACCTGGCCTGGACCAAGCAGCCTCCTGACCTTCCAGTAGAATATGTTCCTGTGCAAACCAATCCTTTATGAGATCATCTGAGGACTAATTTTCATAACAGGCAGCCTGAAGTACTTGTGCAATTGCACATTTGCATTTGTGTGCTCAGTTATCACAACACCAGCAAATCAGGAGCCTGTATGTACTAATATTTAGCCAAGCACCTACCTATCTATTTGCATGCACAGTTATTACTTCTTTTGCAAATGCAGGCCTTCTTTCTTTTTCTTTTTTTTTGGGGGGGGGCTACTTTTGTAGTTGAAAACGAAAACCATTGTGACTTTGTGAAGCTGCGTGAGATGCTGATCCGAGTGAACATGGAGGATTTGAGAGAGCAGACGCACACCCGTCACTACGATACTGAATGTGTAAATCATATACTGAATAAATGCATCTCCAGTATGCAGATAGAAACCCTTAACATCTAAATGCTTCTTTTGCTTTTGATGCCTCATACACCGCTCCCCCAAATTCCTCCATGTCCTCTGAGATTGGCAGTCATATGGGGCCATAAGACTTTCATGTAATATTTGAGAAGCAAATAAATCAATAATTCCACACAGTGCTTAGGAGACTGATTGCCATGTATTGAACTATTTACGAGAGCCGAGTGACTGATCCATAGAGAATAGATCTTTCGGTGAATTTAGCTATTTTGGGAACATTTAGTCATTATTGGAGATTGTTTGCCAAATAACATCTGCAATAAGTCTGGGTTTGGGGTGTTGAGTCAGAGCATTCAGCATGTGGAATGCCAGCTGGGTTGATTAGATTTGATTGGACACAAGGTGTGACTGTTTGGGGAATATGTCCGAGTCCATTTGTGATTCCCATGTGTTTTTTATAGATGCTATGTGTAATTGCAACCAGTATGTAATTGTAGATCAGATCATCCATTTTGCAGCATTTTGTAGTGGAAAAGCTAACATAAGGGCAGGAGGGAGGGAGGGAGGGAGAAAGATGTGACAGAGCAATCAAGGGCCATCAACACTGAGCCAATTTCTCCTACTCAAACAATAGGGTTTCTATCAGCAGGGTCTTTGGCTTTGAATAGACTCTCCTCACAGAAATCTGTCTGGGAAAGAGGGGGAGCTAGAATCTCCCACTCCCTCCCATCTAATCTGTTCTTTTTACAGTGTAGCTGTTTTCCTAGCCAAGGAAGCCATTTCATCACCAGGAATAGTCTAGAAGGCAAGCTGGAGAGAGGGCAGGAAGGAAGGACTTTATCGTCCCTAAGGCCTTGAAATTAAACCCAGGACTTACAAACAAAACTCTCTTGTGCTTTTTAAGAGTGAGGGGTGTGTGTTTATGGTTATGAAGTCCCTTTGCTAAGCCTGTGTTTCCTTGTTTTACTGTCACATCGCCGTGAAGGAGTCAACTAGAAACCAGAGCTTCCACCGAAGTGGGTTCTGCAGGGAATTTGTCTAAGGCTTGGTCTACACTTTAAAAGTAGGTCAAGCCTGCCGACGGGGAAATGGAGAGGGGAGAAAAGGGGCCATTGCCCCAGGGCCCAATGACTCAAAGGGTCCTGGGGTTCCTGGCTGTGGCTGCTGCTACTGCAGCCCATGGCCCTTTACATGGTTGCTGGAGTGCTGTGCTAGGCACTCTGCGTGGCTCTGAGGGCTGGGGGGAGGGGTTGGGGGGGGTATGCCGCAGTCTAGGTGACACCAAAGGCTGACTACCCCCAGCCCTGCCCCTTATGCCTGAGGCCCCGCCTCTTCCAGGACATGGAGCCCCCCCCTATCCCCCCCCCTTGTTCTAGAGCCCACAGTGGCTGTGAGCTCCACTGGTTTGGATCAACATAGCTACAGTGCTCAGGGGTGTAGAACATTCACACCTCTGAGGGCCTTGGCTATGCCGACCTAACTCCTGATGTGAAAGCGACTAGATTGATAGCTGCATTCTTTCATCAACTTAGCTACGGCTGCTCAGGGAGGTGGATTGCCCAGAGCAACAGAAACCCCCCCATCACTGTAGGAAGTATCTGCTCTTCGGCTATTATTTCACTACCTGGACCCAGGGGGGTAGGAAGCATGTAGGATTCAGCTATCAGATCCTATCCCAACAGCCTGGTTTCCTTCCAGAGAGTAGGCTTAGACCAGGCCATTGCACAAGATTTCCCATAAGTTGTGGGCTTTCTTCTGTGCAGCTCTATATGCACAGAATGCCCTCCCTGAATTAACTGGGAAGGGCACTACCATCTTTCTCTTCCAAACCCAGTTCTTCTGTAAGCTTTTCAAGGAATCAGTCAGTCGCTGGTGGTTTGGGCGTGTCACATAGGAATAGCTGATACTTTATCAAATGAAATATTAAGCTGACTTGCTGGGCTGTATGATATGGCCAGGAGCCTGGCTGGAGCTTCTAGGCTAGGTGCTACTGCGGTACAAAGAAATACTGGTGCTATGCATGTTCTCTGACTATGTGATTAGTGACTCTTGGAATTAGACTTCCCACAGGAATCCTCACCTATACTATTGTCAAATTCACCTCCTATAAATACTCTTTTATATTTGCTTAAAATGTCCCTTGTAGATTGAACATTCCTGTCAGTAAACTTGTTCACCAGTATGCTTGCAGAACCAGACCCCAAACAAAACAAATTAGGGGCATTGGAGAGACAGCATGAGCCCGTGGATGGGGAACTGACCCGGGAGACTGGAATTTATTCCCAGTTCTGCCACTCACCTGCTGGTTGGCCCAAGGCAACACTTCACCTCACTGTGCCTCCATTTCCCCTCACACCTTTTTCCTGTTTTTCACTATTTGGATCATAAGATCTTCAGAACAAGGACTATCTCCTATTGTGTATTTGTACCTGCCCTCGCACAATGAGGTTCTGACCTTGGCTAGGTTCTGTAGGCGTTATCTTCATGCAGAGCAGGAGGGAACAATGATAAACAGAGCAGGAGGGGATTTAGGTCTTTATTTGGGTGAACAGTCATAGATTTGAGGTATCCACTGAGTTCTGCTGTCTACCCAGAAACATTTTTTCAAGGCACCTGAACCTGCCTAATTCTGCAATCCCATCCCAGATCAGCATCAGGGCCGTCCTTACCCATACACAGAATATACAGCTATGTAGGCACCCAAAAAATTTGGAACACCACTGGGTCTATCCATCTGCTTCTTCCTATCCCTGTTCAGTGGCTCTGCTTCCTCAGGAGAGGATCTAGTTTAACTCAAAAGTGAAAACGCCTGCCAGACCTATTAGCAGAACATCAAACCCATGAAAGAGTCATTGAAGTGGTAATGAAGCCATTTAACAGGCATTTGCCAACCCTCGGTATATACTGTCAGTTAGTCTACAGGATCTTAGTTTAAAAATTGTTTTAAAAATATTTCATTAGTGTGTTGCTGAAGATTAAGGATGGCCCTGCCCAGCGTGCTGTCTATGGGCTGAGGAGAAGGCTAGCCCTCCATCTTGTTATAAACGCCAACCAAACGAAAGCTTTTATATGGTTAATTGATTGGCTGCCTGGCTATTTTGATGCTCATGTTATCAAAAATAATGTAAGTCATCGTGTGCAAAATACATAAGCACCATCCAGCCCCTTCTTTTTTGGTGTTTGTGGGTTGGGATCTTGTGGTACACCCTGATATACCCCCCTTTGCTTCCCCCTCTAGTGTCCTCACCGGATATTCTTGTAGGCTATGTCTAGACTGGCCAGGTTTTCCAGAAAATCAGGCACTTTTCCAGAAAAACTTGCCAGCTGTCTACACTGGCCGCTTGAATTTCTGCAAAAGCACTGACGATCTCATGTAAGATTGTCAGTGTTCTTGTGGAAATACTATGCTGCTCCCGTTCGGGCAAAAGTCCTTTTGTGCAAAACTTTTGCGCAAAAGGGCCAGTGTAGACAGCCCAGATTTGTTTTCCGCAAAAAAAGCCCCAATCGCGAAAATGGCGATCGGGGCTTTTTTGCGAAAAAGCGTGCCTAGATTGGCACGGATGCTTTTCCGCAAAAAGTGCTTTTGCAGAAAAGCATCCATGCCAATCTAGACGCTCTGTTCCAAAAATGCTTGTAACGGAAAACTTTTCCGTTAAAAGCATTTCCGGAAAATCATGCCAGTCTAGACGTAGCCGTAGAGTCATGACTGGAGTTCCGATGACTTGAAAGAAGCCTGAATGTAGCTCCTCTGGAAACTGGCTGCCAGTACTAGCCAGCTACCACCCAGACACCGTACCTGCTCCCTGCATTATATTGCTAGCCATTTTCACCCAGGATGCCTGCGAAACGGAGAACACTGTCACTGCTGCTGGGGTTGTCTCTTTTTACTAGAAATGGACTAAGGCGAACACCCCTGAATTCCAGAAAGTTCAGAGCCAAAGCCTAGCTCTGTACCTCTGTCCTGTCACAGCTTTTTGAAACGTGGCTACTTTCCATGATGTGACTGACTCTTGGCACATCAGATTGGCATGCTCTTTCTCAGGCTCAGGGCTCGAGCTATTCCAAAAGATGGATTTTACATCCCAAATGGGGGGATGACAGACTGAAACAGTGACATTTTTCACAGAATAGGCGACCATGGTGTATCATGGGGGCAAGGGCACCATTTTGGGAGAGCAGGGAGGGCAGCAGCCATGCATGCCGGGACACGGCTTGCTTTCCTAGGCACTGTGCACAGATTACAGGGCCAGATAGCAGCCGCAAATGGGAGCTGAATGACTAATGATATGGGTGGGACAGACTGAAGTTGATAGGAAATCAGCCACAAAATATTTGCTGTAGTCACGGGACTTATTAAGGCTGGACAGGAGGTACCTTTATATAGAACCAGTTCTACGGGCAGGGTTCCTCTAGGGTCCCTCGGGAGATCACCCCACGGAAAATCTGCCCAGAATGGATGCTCTCACTGTTGAGAATGCTCTGATCTAACAATAGCGTTGCTGCTCACCCATGTTCCCCTGCGTGCTGTCTCACCTGGCTGTCGAGGCCTAACATCATTAACATGGAGAAGAAAAGAATCGACCAGAGAGGAGACATAGGCAGCTGTGTAACCACCTGTGGGTAGGCGAGGAAAGCCAGTCCTGGACCTACCAGAATGAAAATATATTGAATAAGCGCATTGACAATGACACATGTCAGGCTTAAACTGAGAGATGGTGACAGCAGAGAATTCCCAATATTTTAATATGGCCTCTTGGCCAGCACTGCACAAGGGAGGAATGGGGGACTTGAGATTCCATCACCTCTTCCCTCGTTGTCATTGTGTTACCATAATCAGTGATGCAGAAACACATTGTGGGATCAAATGTTTTGCTGGAAATGTTTATATTTTGTTACTGATGCATATACTGAGAAGTAGAGTAGGCCAAACCCATTTTCTAACAGGACTTACTTTTTTCAGTCCAAAAATGCCATTTTGTCAAAATTGAAACTTTCTGGGGAAACATGTTAATTTCAGCAAAATTTAGTTGGTGTATGTGTAAAAAAAACCACCTTTTTTGATAAAGTTGGAAATGGAATTCAGAACAAAAATGTCAGAATGTTGAGAAATGTTGAGTTTCCACCAGCTGTCGTGACAATGCTGATCATCTCAGAGCTTAGATACTACATTGGAAGGCTCCAACACAGGGCTTAGCCCATAAGAAGCCTCCTTAAGTGCAGCAATCCTGGGCAATAGACAAGCCTAGGTGTACAAGAACAACAGCAAAACTCAGAATGTCCTGCTTTGGGACACCTGAGGCTGGCAGGAATAGGCTTCCCAAATTCTTCTGGGACTCAGACCATTCCTCACGTCCATTCAGCTTGGCAAAGAGTTTGCCAAATGGCTCTTTCCCAATCTCCTAAGCTGTCCAGTATCACAATGCTGGACCATTTCAGGGAATTGAATTATATGATTGAGCCCCAGCCAGGAGAACACCATGCTGACTGACAAGTTGCTATTAACAACTATTACATTCTGAAAATTTGGAAGGTGTTTCCTTTTGGAGGTGATTTTCACTCATTTCCTGGGCCAGATCTTTAGCTGTGAAAACTGGCATTGCTGCATAGAAGGCTGAGGAGGCTCTGGTCTCATAAGTGGACTAGAAGTAGTTGTGCATGACATGCACAAATTTCCTCCAGAACAGGCCATATTCTCCTCTCATTTCCTGAGCCCCAAGCCAGTGTCCCACTCATTGCATCACACTGCCTGTCAAAACACAACACAAGCAACATCTGTTTACCTGAAGATGCCAGCTCAGACACAGACTTCTTGGTGATGTGGCCCATGAAGCCAACAATGGAGAATATGACAAATCCTGCAAATATGCTGGTGGTGGAATTTATACAGCAGACAATGATTGAGTCTCTGGAAAAGCAAACACAGAGGTGAGAAAGCCTTCAGCATGTCTGATCCACTCAGCTAATCAGAACAGGATAGGGATCAGGGGATGAGGTGATGGTGAAATGAGGTCTGGGAAGCATGTTACTATGCTGTGGACAGGTTACTATGAGGGGAAGGCCAGAAAAGTGGTGGACAACTTGGAGATGCCCTGTGGCCAGAAGATATTCAGATCTAAACATCAGTGGTAAGGCCTGGGCTGCATGTTTGTGAATTACACGCCGTACAGCATCAGGTACCATAGGCCAGATTGTGAGCTCCTTATACTGGTGAGTTGTTACTCACAGGAGTAGTCTTGGTGACTGCAATAGGAATACCCCTGTGACTATTCGCTTACAAATGTTGCACAGGGGTTTACAATTTGCCTCTGGGTGTCTTTCTGCTGGTAGGGGAAGTTGAAGAGTACTGACTTGTAGACGTTGTTATGGAAGGAGTTATAGCTTCCCAGGGCAATCAGAGAGCCCAGCCCCAGTCCATAGGAGAAAAAGATCTGTGTGGCTGCATCCATCCAGACCTGCAAAGGAAGAGCAGGCTGTGAGACTGTATTCTACAGCACTGTCAGGCATGTTCTGTGTAATGCAGTCTCTCCAGCAAGGTTTCTATATCTTCTGGGAACAACAGGTCATTGTGTCCAAGGCATTTAGCAGTGCAAGTGTCACAGGTGGGACAGACAAAATGTTGAGAGATTCTGATGAAGCTGCAGGTAAGAGACTATACACTGACATGCTCCAGAGGTGAATGTCAATACCCTGATCAACAGGCCTGTGATTTCTGTGCAGCGGTGACTCCTACACTGGTTAGCTGGTGCAGAAGAGCCTACTGCAGTGAGACTTCCATGTTGCTTGCACAGCTCCTGCAGCAGCTAAAGCTTTGTCTATGCTACAAAGTTTTGTCACCAAAACCTGCATTCTGGTGACAAAACAGCCTGGGGGTTCCCACAGCAACGCAACCTTTGTCCTGCTGCAAGGGCAGGGGACTAGACTCAATGACCTCTCGAGGTCCCTTCCAGTTCTAGGAGTCTATGATCTATGACTAGGGCTGAACTTGTATCTACATCTAGCATGACAGATATGGGCGCCAGAGGGTTCCATTGCCTGCTCTCCTAGGATTGCACTAGCCAGCTCAAATAGCTAACCCTAGAATAATCAGTGGAATGCCTTGGTTCTCAAACTTTTTGGCCCAGGGCCCACTTTGCTCAACACAAACCTTTCCATGGGCCACCAGCCAGCCACCCATGATGACAAAATGGGTGCAGAGAGGGTGGGGATGCAGGGTCTCAGGAGGGGGAGCGTGTGAGTGGGATGGAGGCAGGGTCTGGGCATCAGGAGGACGGAGGGGTGCTTACGTGGAGGGGTGGTCATGTCCCCCGCCGCTTCCAGGCACCACGTCTCACCCCTTGCTCCTCCCATTGGCCATGATTCTGGCCAATGGAAGTAGCAGGGAAAGCCTTCCTCCCACTTGCTCACCCTGTGAACCAGATTTGGCCCACGAGGCTTGGGTTTTCCCCTCCCACTTGCAGTGGAAAACTGGCACTGCCACTCCAACCTTGCAAGGGTGACCCCCCCACCAAAGGGGGCTCCCTGCTGTGCAGGGAGGGGGGCGAGCCTCAAGCTGCGACCCCCTTGCAAGGCAGCTGCAGGCCACTAGTGGTCCACAAACCACACTTTGAGAACCACTGGTGTAATGGTACGTGTGCACCACAGAGGGGCAGATCTGCAGTGGTGTAAATCGGCATCAGTCCATCGATAATACCCCAAGATTTCAATGAAGGACTGCTGATCTCCATAGGTTGAGGGATCAGGCCCAGCTATGACTGCTGGGATTGTAAGACTCTGAGACTGGGGCGGGGTTTTGGTTATGAGAGAAACTTGAAATGTTCAACGTGCCCTGTAACTTTCACCCTGTGGTGTAAAAGCTCTGAATGCCGGGGGACCCACCTCAGACTTAGAGAGTTTGCTGAAGTCTGGTGTGATATAAAAGAGAATTCCATCCTTGGCTCCTGGCAGAGTGACTCCACGGAAGAAAAGAATAATTAACATGAAGTAAGGGTAGGTGGCTGAGAAATACACAACCTGAGAGAGACAGAAAAGGAGATGTTAGTTGTGTTGGGAGACACTCACGTTCAAAGATAGAGCAGTGACATGATTCTTCTGGCTTCACAGGAGCCAACAGCCATGTCAGGCCCCTGGGCAAGGTTAGGGAGAGCTGGCTCCATGCTTCTGGAAGGGGCAAGCCCTCAGGAGGAAGGGGCAGGGTAAGAGAACTGAGCTCTAAGGGTATGTCTACACTAGTGGGTTCTTGTACAAGAACTCTTGCACAAGAACAGCGCCACACTGCCATGTGCTTTTGCACGAGAGCGTCCATGGCAGTGTGGATGCTCTCTTGCGCAAGAAAGATCTGATGGCCATTTTAGCCATAGGTGTTTCTTACACAAGAAACCCCTGCCATACGTCCACACTGCCCTCTTGCACAAGAGAGCTTACACTTGTTAGACAAGAGCGTAGCTCTTGTGCAAGCAGCCCTTTCTTACCACGCTTTACTGTAAATCTTCTTGCGCAAGAGCGGGAGGACAGTGTGGACGCTCTGCGGAAGAACGGCCATTCTTGTGCAAGAACCCGCCAGTGTAGACATAGCCTAAGTGTGTTAGTTCTTCCTGCCAAGAAGGGAGTAGGAAGGACCTTAGGGAAGTACATAGCCTCCAGGAAGTTTAAACTGAGAGCTAATGGATCTTTTCTAACAAACTGGTTGACACCTTTTGGCTGCATCTAGACTGGCAAGTTTTTCTGCAAAAGCAGCTGCTTTTATGGAAAAACTTGCCAGCTGTCTACACTGGCCGCTTGAATTTCCGCAAGAACACTAATGATCTTGTGTAAGATTGTCAGTGTTCTTGTCGAAATGCTATGCTGCTCCCGTTCGGGCAAAAGCCCTCTTGCGCAAATGCTTTTGTGCAAAAGGGCCAGTGTGGACAACATGGTATAGTTTTACACAAAAAAGCCCTGATGGCGAAAATGGCGATCAGGGCTTTCTTGTGCAAAACTGCGTTAGATTGGAACGGACGCTTTTCCGCAAAAAATCATGCCAGTCTAGACGTAGCCTTTGTGTATATTCTGTGTTCTGTTTCCCTCCAAGTAATATTTCTGAGCATTGAGGGGTTTCTTCTACTACTGACACAAGATTTTATTGATCACAGAAATATGAGGCCAAATGAGTACCTGGTGTAACAGCACCAAAAGCAAAGGAGTTGCATAAATAATGAATTTGGGACAAAGAAGTCAGAGATGTTACCAATTTAAGTAATCTAGCCCTTATTTTCTAGCACTCTGCCTAGCTTTTGTTTATTTAAATGATTCGAGAAATGCTAGTTTGCCTGAAGGTGATTCCTCCACTTTCCTTGGAAGACTAGTTCACAACCTAAGAAAGTACTCTGGGAACTTTTTTCTTCCTGATATTGTTCTTTTCTTAATGTCATCCCATTACTCCAAGTTACAGCCTACACAATACATCCCAGTAGCACCATTTTACCAAACTAAGAAGTTTCTCAGATGTTTCTTTTATGGTGCAGGTTTGTAATGTTATATACTAGGACAGCGGTTCCCAACTGCTGGTCTGTGGGCCGGTGCCAGGCTGTGAACCACTGACTGCCAGGCAGTGGTGCCTTTGGGGGCCAGGGTTGGGATACACAACCCAGTGCCTCCCCTCCCACTGTGACTATTGGGAGAGGTGTGTCCTGCCCCACCTCTCTGCCAACCAGCACCGGGCAGGGGCAGGGGCAGAGGCAGGGGCAGGGGCAGGGTCTCCTCCTAGATGTGGAAGAGAAGTTCACTGTGAGGCAGGAGGGCTGCATAGAGCCCAGCACTCTAATCATAAAGTTGTTGATCTAGTTTTAGATCTACATATTGCTTAACTTGTCAAATGTTCCTCCCTGCTCTCTTACTTCCCCCAGAGCCCTCTCTGGCAGGGCCGGCCCTACCATGAGGCAAACTGAGGCGGCTGCCTCAGGTGCCAGACTGGGGGGGAGGGGTGCCACTAGGACCCAGAGTGTAGAAAATTGTGTCTGCTGCTGATGCATATGTATTCGCTCTGCTCTAGATGCATAGAGATGGTGGAGTGCTGTGCTGAAGGAAGGAGGACACAAGAGACCTTTCAAAGTTTTGGCCCAAGCGAGGGGACATTTGAGCTCCCTGCCTCAGGTGCCAAAACATTGTGAGCCAGCCCTGCCAGCATGGCAGCCTTAGAGCAGCTGTGACCCAGGCAGCAGTGCTCAGCTGGCAGCTAAGAGCAGTGCAGGGCTAGGTGAGGGGGTGGGGCAGGCTCTGGGGGCAAGGCTCATACTACGGAGCTCTAAGGGGTAGGGAGCTCTAAGAGGTGGGGGGCTGACACTGGGGTTCACTGGGGTGTCTGGGATGGGGAGCTGGCACTGGGGGGGGCTCTGGTAATGGGGGTTGGGGGCTGGCATGGAGGGGGCTCTGGGAGGGATGGGTGCAGTGGAAACAGGAGGCTGGTACAGGGGGTGGGTCTGGTGATGGAAGGGCAGAGAGCTGGCACTGAGGAGCTTTAAGGGCAGGAGGCTGGCACTGGGGGTGAGGGTTTGGGTGCAGGGGACTCTGGGGTCAGTGGCTGATGCTGGGGGTGTGTGGATAGGTGGGGGAATCTAGGGGTTAGGGCTGGCACTGGGAGGCTCTGGGGGCTGGGGTGTACCCCAACCCAGGCCTCCAGAGCCACCCACCATGTGGCAACTGCCAGAGCTGAACTGGCTGCTTCTGGGACTTGTGGCAGGCCTGTGACATTTTATTTACATATTAATTACTTGCACAATGAATATGCAAATAAAATGTTACCAGTCCGCCAAAAGTTTGTGAATGGGTTTGCTGGTCCACAGTATAAAAAAGGTTGAGAACCACTGCACTAGGAAACAGCTATGTTTCTGTTTCATGGGTCATCCTCAAAAACCAAAGTATGAGGGGAAAAGAGACCAGAGCTGTGACATTTTATTTACATATTAATTACTTGCACAATGAATATGCAAATAAAATGTTACCAGTCCGCCAAAAGTTTGTGAATGGGTTTGCTGGTCCACAGTATAAAAAAGGTTGAGAACCACTGCACTAGGAAACAGCTATGTTTCTGTTTCATGGGTCATCCTCAAAAACCAAAGTATGAGGGGAAAAGAGACCAGAGATTCTGGATGCTCAATTTCTGATCCCCTAAAAGGATCTTGGTTTCAGTGAGCAGGTGCTCGGGGTGGGGCATAAGCCCCTTCATGGTGTTTCAAGGTGGGCTTTGAAAGTCAGTTTTTAAAAGCTTGGCCTAAGTCTTTCCAAAAGTCTGAAAGTTCCATGCCCTGTCCAGAGATTCTATGGTTAAGATTCTCTATGCCTAGAGAATCTATGCAATGGCTGTGGCAATTTTTACCACTGTGAAAGGTAAAGAATTTAATGGCACAGTCCCCAATTCCTCCTTAAAACACAGTAAACCTTAATTACAGGCACTCCAAATTGAATCCGGAAGACATTTCACCATGAGAGATGTGTACAGTCATAAAAGGCAACTCTGTATTGCCTGGTTATTGCAAAGTACCTTTCCAGTCCACTCTACTCCCTTCCAGATGGAGAAATAGACCAGAACCCAAGCTAACGCGAGCGTGCCTGCTAGGGGCCAGCGAATGTTACCTGGCTCCCCCAGGCCACCAGAAAGTTGATGCATGTTCCTCCTGCAGTCAAAAGACATGGAATTAAAAAGAAGTATAATGATCTACAGAGTCTAAATCATTTGAGATTCCTGACACAGGCAGAAGGAATGCAAGATGGGGGCAGCAAGCCCAGACACAGGCAGAGGGCACGAAATGGGGAGCGAGTGAACCAAACATGGGCAAAGGGCACAAAGGTCAGAAATAATATGAACTCTAGTGTGAGGGACTGAAGGAAAAAGGATGGATGATGGCAGGTTTTGACCCTCCTTGCTCTGTCTGAAGTGGACATTTAGCAGGCATGCCTCCTCTGGAGACAGGAAGCATCACGGGCAGACACAGGCAGAGGGCACGAAATGGGGAGCGAGTGAACCAAACATGGGCAAAGGGCACAAAGGTCAGAAATAATATGAACTCTAGTGTGAGGGACTGAAGGAAAAAGGATGGATGATGGCAGGTTTTGACCCTCCTTGCTCTGTCTGAAGTGGACATTTAGCAGGCATGCCTCCTCTGGAGACAGGAAGCATCACGGGCTGATGAACAACTTCATCCCTCCAACTGAAATTTTCAAAGCAGCTTTCAAAGGGATGCACCAACCCCAAAC